AGGGAATATAAATAAATTTGTGGGTAAAAACTACGATAAAGGATGAAAAACTTGTTTTTCATGTGAAATTTTACAGTTTCTCCTTAAGTAATTTTTTAAAATATACACCCCTGGTTAGATATAAATCAGAGCCTGCGATTTATTAGCTTAGACTCGGGATTTTAATCCTTAGGCCCAGGTTTAAGGCTTTACCTTTCACCCATCTCATGAAGAACTTTATGAGCTTTTTTTAGAAATTAACTCAAATCCACTTTGCAACAGTTCTAACAAATGCTATGTGATACATTTAATAAAAGATTTTAGGATATTTTTTTATAATTTTCAAACTTTTTAGCTTTTTGTGTGAATAAAATCACAGTAAGGAATTATGTACAAATCAGAAAAAAATTCATTAAAATAAACCAGAAGATGAGTATCAAAATATCCGTCTTGAAACACTGAGTTCAGAAACGTTAAATTGGATAAAATCCCTTGAAAACTAAGCAAACCCGCAACTTATCGCAAATCTTAAATTAGTCTCAATGACAGCACAGTCGAGTCTTATCTTCATCAATTTTTAAATCGCTGGCTCTGTAGAAAAATAATCCCTTTTCTCTATGGTTACAATTTCCTTGATAAACGGAAGGTAATGAAAGGAACTGAATATTTGCCACAAATCCAAATTTTCTAATCCCTATATCTTTGAAACCTGATGGTGAAAACTTTGAAACACCAAAGTTTTAAACCATCAGGTTGTAAAGATAAAGGGTTTGGAAAATTTTATTTTGTGTCAAAAACTGATTTCCTTTAACGGCAAAATTAAGTTAATGGATCGAAACACCATAAAATAGATAAAACAGGCAATTAAAGCTTTTAGTTAAAAACCAACGATTTCCATAGATTCATTAGGTGCATTTAATTTTCTAGTTCTCTAGTACTTGTTTTTAGCTTAGGATTTAAGAAGTTAATGACAAAATTTTGTACTTAAAAAAGTACAGCCCCTTATACAAATCCTATTAAAGAAACCTGTTTTTAATGAAACCCCGTGTAAGCTTTATTAGCAATTTTTAATGATGGTAGATATTTTAAAAATCATTAAAAGCGGTTATTTTCATTGAGTTTTATGCAATTTTGAGCAGAAGATTACCTAAAGTGGCAGAGTTACTTTATAACATATCCGGTTGTTCTTTTTTCATGAACGGTTATTTCCGTTCGTTAACAATTTCAAAATTAACGGTTTTTGCCGTTCTCTTTTAAGAACAATTGTCAGTCGTTAACATAACTTAAAATTTTAGGAAAGTTACAGCACTCCTTGTGGTTTAGAAACAGAGGTTATAAATATATGCCGGGATCCAACTTTATTCTGTGATTATTTAAAACTGTATCAATAAATGTTAATTGAAAATCTGGAATTCATCGTCTCCTAATAGTATTAAAAACTATTTCTTAAAACTCAATCAAAAATGAATTGGTTTAATCAATTTAATAATAAAAGTGATAAACGTCACAAATGAGTTAAAATCCGGTTCGTCGGAAATTGTTAAGGGATTCCCAACGAATATATGATTTATACGACGATTTGATGCAAAATTATGAAAATGTGCATCAATCTAAATACTTGGGTCGATTTTAAAGTGTTGCAACGCCTTGCTCTTAGATATTACCGTACTAACTCTGTAACTCATTTAACGCTGTAAAGGCTGGGGGGTCTGAAACTATGTATAGCCTGGGGGTGAGTTTGGCGCTCCCCCCCCCCCCNCCCTATAAAACACCATAGTTTAACAGTAGAAGTAAATATTTCCATTTATTGATAGCGCTGATTAAAGGATTCATAACTCTGATTGGATAATGAGAAAGATATAAAGATAGTTGTTACCGCCATACTATTTCTATTGGTTCAGAATAGACAACAAACACATGACTGGACCCTGATTGGATTAGGCGCTAATGGACTTAGAGAATAGGTATAGGGTTGAAATGCATGTTCATAGCCCAATTTTTCATGGCGAACTCAAAGAAAAAAAATAGACTGATAACTTTAATAGTTTGGGTGCTAAGGAGGGCGGAAAAAAATGCCTAAAAAAGTGTAAAAAAAATGAAAAAAATATTTTTTTGTTTTCAACAAATATCAAAATGTGACACATGTTTCTACATGAGTTTTTTAAGGGCTTTTCGTGAATATAGTTTTTAGATCTGTAGCTTTAGTCACAAAATAGTTATGGGCTATTTTAGATTTTTTTTTTCACAGACCGGACTTTTTTTTCGCCCTGTACCCTGCCCTATTAATTAAAAAAATATTTTTCAACTAAAAATCCTTGAAAATACTACTCATTAATAGTCACAAAATTTTTACTGTGATAGTGTCAAAAATGAGAGTGCTAAAAAAAACTACAGGCTGCGCCAAACGCCCCCCCCCCCCAGCCTGTTTAGGGTTAAACTTTGATTAAATACATATTCATTTTAAACTAGTAAAATACAATTGTTTTAAGTAAGTAATTGTAAACATTATTTTGTGAACGTAATGACACCCCACGCGAAGAGGGCAATGCCCGATTTACAACGGTACACTAAAAACATTTGTGTTTTCGTCGAGTACAGAGATATTTGTGTGTAAATTTATCGAAACCCGATTGTATTCAGCTGCAGATTGCAGTGTGCACTCTGTCTAGTCCGAACTTTTATTAATCCTCTAAATTGAAGGAAATCAAGATATTGTTTAAATTTTATAAGATATTAAATAGAATAAGATAAGATAAAGAATGTGAATGAATTTTATTGCTCATAGTTGGTGGGATCTTCATGGAACTCTTCCTGAGCTGTGGTTCCTTGTTCAGGGGCGAGGTTCTCTTCAGCTGGGTCGTCTGTGAGTCCGTGGTTCGGTTCTTGGGGATCGGGTTTCTCCCCTCCCAGGAAGGGTGGATCTGGTTGGATTAAAGGATTTGGATTGGTTGGAGACCCTGTATTGGTTGGAGGGTCTGGGTCGATTGGAGTATCAGGTTTGGTTGGAGTAACTGCATTGGTGGAGGACCAATTTTAGTTGGGAAGGTCTGGTTCAACTGGAGGACCAGGATTGGTTGGAGGGTCTGGTTCAACTGGAGGAACTGGATTGGTTGGAGGATTGGGACAGATTTGAGTAGGTTGGATTAAAGGATTTGGATTGGTTGGAGACCCAATTTTAGTTGGAGGTGCCGGACTGGTTGGGGGATCTGGAGAGGTGGGAGCGTCAGGATTGGTTGGGGGCCCTGGATTGGTTGGAAGGTCTGGTTCAACTGGAGGACCAGGATTGGTTGGAGGGTCTGGTTCAACTGGAGGAACTGGATTGGTTGGAGGATTGGGACAGATTTGAGTGTTAGGTGCGGTTGAAGGATCTGGTTTGGTCGGAGGGCTTAGATTGGTTTGAGGAATTGGTTTGGTTAGAGGATTGGGTTTGATTGGAGTATCAAGGTTGGTTGGAGACCCTAGATTGGTTGGAGGGTCTGCATTGTCTGGGTAGGCGTGAGGATTGGGTTCAATTGGAGGGTCTGGACCGGTAGGAGGACCTGGTTGGATTGTAGGATCAGGTTTGGTTGGAGTAACTGTATTGGCTGGAGGACCAGTTTTAGTTGGAGGTTCTGGACTGGTTGGGGGATCTGGAGAGGTGGGAGTGTCAGGATTGGTTGAAGGGTCTGGTTAAATTGGAGGAGCTGGACTGGTTGGAGGATAGGGATGGATCGGAGGATTAGGTGCAATTGAAGGATCTGGTTTGGTTGAAGGGTTTAGATTGGTTTGGGGTTTTGGTTTGGTTAGAGGATTGGGATTGAGGATCCAGGTTGGTTGGAGACCCTAGCTTGGTTGGAGGGTCTGATTTGATTGGAGGATCTTGAGGGGAGGTTTTGACAGTTGCAACTTTTCCGCAAGTGCTGTGGTCAGAGGAGTTTGGTGAGGCATATAGAAAATCCTGTAGATCGCTGAAATCCCAGTAACGGCTGGGAGTGTGTGAGCAGTGGAGGAAGTGAAGGACTTCCATGGCGCAATCTCGGGTTGCATGGAGGGTGGAAGTGTTACAAAGGAAATTGTCTGAGTTAGATTTCATGTTCAGGCTGTATAGTCGATCTAAGACTTCCAGTTCCTTGATGTCTTCTGATAGGCACGTTGAAAGCCTTGTTGAAGATCACGAAGGGGTGGTTATCTGGAGGTTGAGGCCGGGATGTGAAAGTGGTCACGGCGGTGTATTGGGCTTTATGGAAAGGAGGGCAGTCATAAAGCAAAAATTCCCTCTTGGTACGTACGGTTAGGAGGGATAGATGGTAGATGTGATCCAGTACCTTGACGTTGTTCTCCCGACTAGCGAAATCGAAAGCCGCGGTGACTGTATGTATAAAATGCCTTATTTTTCACAATAGCTTTATTTCAGATAAATATAAGGTAGTTAAAGTAGTAATATTTTAAATTTGAAAATAAAGATATGTAGTTTGAATTTTTTAAAAAAGAATCATTGAAAAAATGTTGATATGAGTGAGGATAGTGGAGAATTGAAAAAATAAATGATTAAATAAATGTTGATATTAAGATTTTAAAAAGTCAGTGGTATTCAGGGTAGTGGGGAATTGGAAAAAAAATCTTGAATAAATGTTGATAAAAAGATTTCAACAAGTTGGTGGTAGTCAAATTAAATGGAAACAAAAAAAAATCCGTTGAAAACCTTACGTATAAAAAACTCTGAAGTAAACAAAAAAAAATTTGACAAATTTTACTGAACCTAACCATTTACAAAAAAACAGCTTTATCCATACCTGGGTTTCTAGGGGGGGGGCAACTTTAACCAACTGCCCCCACCCAAAACTTGTATGAACCTTGTAGATTTTTACGAATTTTTGTCCAAATTTTATGAACTCAAACCCAAAACATCCAAACTTTTTTTTTGTCTTTTTTGCAGCGGGCTGATTGTTACATACTTTAAAAACATCATATTGCGTATGAATCTATCTGGTCCAACCTTTTTTATACAATATTCTTTGTTCATGTTGAACCAGATAAAACCGGATAAAAAACTACATAAAATATAAAAACAAACTTTTAACATTCTTCACAAAGAACTAAAAAGATAGGGTCTGTCCTAATATGAAACTGCACCATTTATATTCCATTTATAAATAACATAAATTGTAATATATAACAACATATGCATATTTTTATGTACAAAAAGTGTAGCAGACCTTGAACAAAAAAGGCAACTTCAAGCCTAAGCTGGAGATATACAGCAGTTCAAGACCAAACGTACTCCAACCCATGGTTCTCCAAAACTCCGGATCCAAACTCTCAAATCCGTTATCACATATTTACGAAACATACAGAAATAAAGATTTTGTAAAACTCCAAACCATTTTTCCATCAAATATCCGAGAGAGTGTCTCAATTCATTCTTACTCCAATCTCATTCTTACTCCAGAATTCATTCCAACTCCAGGTAGGACTGGGCACGTTCCGACTTTTTTGAAACCGTTCTGTTCCGTTCTAGAACAAGGGCCTTCAGCTAAATTGTTCCGTTCTCGTTCCTCTTTTTTATCATTCCGTTCCGTTCTCAGTAGAAGAACGATCTTCCCGTTCCGTTCCGTTCTTGGCGTTCTTAGTTGAAGAACGGTTGCATCCCTCTTGTTCTGTTCTTAATAAAGAACGTTTCCATCCCCCGTTCCGTTCTTAGTAGCGAACAATACCATCCAAGACAAAAGTTTTATAGAAAAGAGTTGGTTAAAAAAAATTACGATTTTTTAATAAAAAGTTCCTCACGGCTGTAAATAATACTTTAAATTATATATTTTAAATTTATAGTTAAAAGAATAAGCTTAGATAATTTCTGGGCTGAGCAATGTACAATAAAAAAAAGGAGGAACAAGAACGGAACAATTTAGCTGAAGGCCCTTGTTCTAGAACGGAACGATTTCAAAAAAGTCGGAACGTGCCCAGCCCTACCCCTGATATCATAAATGATGCTCTTAGCAAATTAAAAAATGAAAACAACTCTGGTCCAGATAACATTTCTACTAACCTATTAAAGTCGATAATGCCAAGTATCATGGGTCCTGTCTGCCATTTATTTAATATGTCGTTTAAAAATGGTTATATTCCAACCATCCTTAAAACTGCTAAAATTGTTCCAGTCTTTAAGACTGGAGAATCTGATAAATTTACAAATTACAGACAAATTAGTTTACTTTCATTATTTTCAAAACTTTTAGAAAAAAGTAGCGGGAAATCAAATCATGAAATATCTGAATAAATTTAAACTTCTCTATGAGAAGTAGTATGGGTTTAGGCAAAGCATAACACTACCCAGCCTTTAATCCATTTTCTAGATACAATTTACCAAGCCTTAAACAATCCGGTATCTGATTATACTTCAGGAATTTTCATTGATTTAACTAAAGCTTTTGACACTTGTAAACTCCTCTCTTGAAGATATACTTTGTGGAGTTCCTCAGGGGTCAATATTAGGCCCAATTTTATTCCTAATTCTCATAAATGACCTTCCAAATGCATTAAAACTCTTTACCATACTTTTTGCTGATGACACAACATTACAATATTCTTCGGAAAATCTAAAAAGTTTATACGATTTTGCTTTAAAAAATTGCAGACTGGTTCAAAGCAAATAAACTGAAATTAAATGCCTCTAAAACAAAGTTTATATTTTTCAGAAAGAAAACAAAAGTTCTGGTAGGTGACTCACTTAAACTTTTCATCTAAAATAAGGAAATAAAAAGAAAAGGTGCTGGTTGTAAAAATGAATCCTTTAAGTTTGTGAGAATACAGCTTGATGAAAACCTAACCTGGAATCACCATGTTAAAGCTGTAAAAAACAAAGCATCTAGCGCAGTGTTTGCATTATCCAATGCAAGAAATCTACTTCCAAATAACATTAAGCATACTATTTATAACACATTATTTTGCTCATTTGTAGAATATGGAATTTCAGCCTGGGGGAAAAATAAAAATCCTGAAATGAAAAAAATTAGCTTGCTCCAAAACGTGCAGTTAGAATTATTGAAAATGCAAAAACAGCTTGACAAACTGATCTTCTTTTCTTAAAGTATAAAATCATTAAGCTAAATGATTTGACTGAATTTAATCAAGATTCAAGCAACATTTATGTATAAATACACAAAAAACCTTCTGCCCTCCTCATTTAACAACACTTTTTAAAAATTCGGAAAAGGAGTTGAGTTTTTGCCACAAAGTCTGATTTTCTAATCTCTATATCTTTGTAACCCAATGGCGTAGACCTTAGATATTTCAAGCTATTAATACTTATAGGTAAAATAATCTAAGTTTGAAATATCAAAGGTTTGCATCAAAAGATTGCTAAGATATTGGAATCAAAAGATTTTAGTTTGTGGCAAAAACTCAATTCCTTTGAAAGATCTTTTAACTATCAAATTTTTTGAGATCTATATATTTATTATCTCCGTATCGAGATTATTTAAATTGTACAAAAAAGTATACATAGATTAAATATGACAGTTTTACATCAAACTCGTTTACATATATTTTGAGAGAATTATATAGGAGTTAATTTACGGATACATTTTTAAATAAAAATTTGGTATCAATGCTATTTAGATTATGCAAACCATACAAATTGAGAATTGTAACATTGAAGTGGTGGAACATTAAAAGCATAAAATAGGTTATTGACGAGAAAAGTTTATGTGGATTGAATAAAAATATTTTACAACAAAATCGTTTACATATAATTTGAGCAAGTTTTGTAGAATTCAGTTTGCGTATACATTTTACATTTTTTAGGAAAAAAAAAATTTTTAAGAAAAAAACATTTTTTAGGAAAAAAACATTTTTTAGGAAAACTATCAAATTGACATTCTAAATACAGGCTCATTAGAATATCTTCCCTCATATGCATTTCTTAAGATATGGAATAAACTGCCACTTGATTTAAAAAGAAGTGCTTCGTTAGGTATCTTAAAAAAAAGTTTATTTAAAATGTTATCTGACGCCTACAACTCAAAGTGCAATAAACCCTTTTGTTATTCTTGCAAAAAATGAACATAGAACTTTGTAGATGTTTGTACATGCTTAATCTTATTCTGTTAAACGTACAAGTTTATAAACTTATAACTGAAAAATGAATTATTTTGTTATGCTGCACCTCGGTCTCTCTAAATTTAACTAGTAATCCCTGACTTATTGTAAACTTTCAACACCTAGTAATATTCATCATATTCTAAACGTTTTAATATTAATTAGGTGGGGATAATGCCCAAAACAGCAAATAGCTAATCTCCACCTAATTGCTATAATTACATAAATATAGTAAACAATATAAAAATAGTTAGAGACTATTTTCCCTGTAACATTATAACTTGTATGTGTATTATTAGAAATAAACTATATCTTATCTTATCTTATCTTAATATTAAACTGTTGCTGGCTTGTTGCATGTCTTCAATGAAAAAAATAATTAGCTTAATTAAGATAATTAACCCCATAAACTCAGTTAATTACAGTAATTTGCATCTTTAAAGCAAATAAAATAGAATTCAAGGATGTTAATTTTGACATATATCTTAAATCATTTATATTTAATTTACCTTCTTAAATATAAATGTATATCTATCTTATTACGTTTCAACACTATAGACTTTTAGGGCGATTTGCACTTTCTTTCCTATCAACAATTTTCAGAAAGTCGCTATATTAAATTATTTGCTTATTTTCGCGGATTTTTGGTGTAAAGTAGTATTCATCACATCCCCAGCATCTTCTGAGGCTGAACATCTTTTCCCGCCACTGCCCAAATTATCATGCCCGGAGGCCATTATCAAATTATCTACTTAAAGTCCGAATCAACCCCTTTAAGTTTATTAGATTGAATGTTTCGCGACCAAACCACTGGCCGTGAATATATCAATTTATCAGGATAACCCTTATCCTTCTCTTAAACCATGGTAGACCCCATCATATCCTTATCTTAAACAATGGTAAACTATCCTATCCTTCTCTTAAACCATGGTAAACAATCCTATCCTTCTCTAAAACCATGGTAAGCCATCCTATCCTTCTATTAAACCGCGGTAAACCATCCTATCATCCTCTTAAACTATGGTAAACAATCTTATCCTTCTCTTAAACCATGGTAATCCATCCTAACCTTCTCTTTAACCATGGTAAACCATCCTATCCTTCTCTTAAACCCTGGTAAACAATCCTATCCTTCTCTGAAACCATGGTAAACCATTCTATCCTTCTCTTAAACCATGGTGAACCATCCTATCCTTCTCTTGAATGAATGGTAAACCATCCTATCCTTCTCTTAAACCAAGGTAAACCATCCTATCCTTCTCTCAAACCATGGTAAGCAATCATATCCTTCTCTTTAACCCTGGTGAACCATCCCATCCTTCTCTTAAACCATGGTAAACTATCCTATCCTTCTTTTTGACCATGGTAAACCATCCTATCCTTTTTTAACCTAGGTAAACCATCCTATCCTTCTATTAAACCATTGTTTTGCTACTTAGCGATTTTCCTAAAGACCTAATGAAATCTTTATAAGTACCGTGCGGTATTTCTCAAGATAGGATTGTAAGCCTTCCTCTTCTGACCGCTCTCCATAATAAAGGATAATAATATGGTTCCGAACGTTTATTTCTCCGAGACTTCAATCTAAATAATTTTAATAAACCCACAGAAAAAGCATTGAGTGATAAAATCATACAAATACAACAAATAAATCAACTCAGGCATTAAAAAACTGTGGAATGGAACCAACAAATTACATTTATAAAATATCAAACCATAACCGAACATAAACAAACGATATTCATACATATATATAAAGAATAATTACCACAGTGATCCTAGAATTTTAAGCACGGTTTAATAATAGACGAACTTGCAAGACAAACAAATATGTACTACGGTAGAAACTGTCCGCTTCCACGCGAGAAACTTGCGCATGCGTAGTCGGTCTGTAAACAGCTTCTAAAACTAGTTTTTCACAATACGTTCTGTACAGATCTGCTGGGAGAACTCAGGAATTCACAGGGGCACCACATAGACTTCATACATGGAGCATGGCTCGCGTAACAACCATGTTAAGCATCCTATCCTTTTCTTAAACCATGGAAAACCATCCTATTCTTTTCTTAAACCATGGTAAACAATCCTATCTTTCTCTTAAACCATGGTAACCTATCTTATCCTTCTCTTAAACCATGGTAAACAATCCTATCCTTCTCTTAAACCATGGTGAACCATCCTATCCTTCTCTTAAACCATGGTGAACCATCCTATCCTTCTCTTAAACCATAGTAAACCATCCTATCCTTCTCTTAAACCCTGGTAAACAATCCTATCCTTCTCTTAAACCATGGTAAACTATCCTATCCTTCTCTTAAACCATGGTAAACTATCTTATCCTTCTCTTAAACCATGGTAAACAATCCTATCCTTCTCTTAAACCATGGTAAACTATTTTATCCTTCTCTTAAACCATGGTAAACAATCCTATCCTTTTCTTAAACCATGGTGAACCATCCTATCCTTCTCTTAAACCATAATAAACCATCCTATCCTTCTCTTACACCATGGTAAACCATCCTATCCTTCTCATAAACCATGGTAAACAATCCTATCCTTCTGATAAACCATGGTAATCCATCCTATCCTTCTCTTAAACCATGGCAAATAATCTTACCCTTCTCTTAAAACATGGTAAACTATCCTATCCTCTTCTTAAACCATGTTGAACCATGCCTATTCTTCTCTTAAACCATGATAAACCATCCTATCCTCTTCCTAAATCTTGGCAAACAATCATATCCTTCTCTTAAACCATGGTAAACTATCATATTCTTCTCTTAAACCATGGTGAACTATCATATTCTTCTCTTAAACCATGGTAAACTATCATATTCTTCTCTTAAACCATGGTAAACTATCATATTCTTCTCTTAAACCATGGTAAACTATCATATTCTTCTCTTAAACCACGGTAAACCAACCTATGTTTCTCTTTACGGTAAAAGTTGTGACAAAATTTATGGGGAAAAGGAGAAAAACTGTCAAGGATTAAGAAAAGAAACAAGATAAAGGATAGGAACAAGATAGAGGAATAAGAACAAGTTGGAGGAATAGGAACTAGATGGAGGAATAGGAACTAGATGGAGGAATAGGAACTAGATGGAGGAATAGGAACTGGATGGAGGAATAGGAACTAGATGGAGGAATAGGAACAAGATAGATGAATAGGAATTAGATAGAGGAACAGGAACTAGAGAGAGGAATAGGAACTAGATAGAGGAATAGGAACTAGATAAAGAAAAAGGAATACGATAGAGAAATACGAACACGATAAAGGAATAGGAACTAGATGGAGGAATAGGAACTAGATATAGGAATAGGAACAAGATAGAGGAATAAGAACAAGATAGAGGAATAGGAGCAATGTGAAGAATTGGATGAAGAAGATATTGAACAAAATGAAGAATATATTTGAATAGAAGCAAAATGAATCATACCCTCAGTTGACAGGTGGAATATGTTAACTGCCTATATAAAGATAGAAATAGAATGATTATCTATCAGTTCAAGATTAAACTCTGAACCCCACAACAGGTTAATATTTAAATTCACCTTCTTTTTCTCCTCTTTCTTCATTTTTTCTCTTGTTTGCCCTCAGCTGGGAACACTTGTATTGTGTTTGATGCTTAATCTCGATCTTTTGAATGTTTGGATCCTTAAATTAAAAGTGATTGGGATTATAAGTTTCTAACACAAAAGTTCCCAGCTCTGCCCTTTTCATTTCCCCCTTCTTCTCCCATCTTTCTCTCCTTTCCCTCTTCTCCTGTTAATTGATCACTGGTCTTGCACCCCCACCCGGTCCCTAAGTCGTGAAAAAAAAATAATAGTATTTATTCACTTTGTCCCCAAGCAGCATGCTGTTTTAAAAATTGAGAGGAGATTGTTTTCAGGGACCATGAGAATTTGGTTATCTATATTGGTCTTGGCCATGGTGGCCTTTTGTTTGGCACAGGAAACTAAACCTAAGAAAAATTGTTTCATCAATGGTCAAAGAGTAAACGATCCTAAACGATGCCAAAGGTTTCACAGGAATAAAAAGCAAATAGCTCCAGAAGGCCAGGACGAAAATAACAAAGAACTGAAAAACTATATCAGTAAGTTAAAGAAAGTCCCAGCTAAAACAGCGCAGAAAGACATTAAGAAAGAAAAGAAGAAAAATCCTATCATTAAGCGAAGGAAAATTCATTCTCAGACACCTGGGAAAAAAATGTTGAAAGAAAAGAAGGAGAGAAAGCCCATCATTAAACAGAGCAAGATCTCAAATCAAATTTCAGAGAAAGAAAGTAAGGAAGAAAAGAAGAATAAAAAAATCATTGTTAAGCGTATGAAGATACCAGCTGGAACAGCCCAGGTTCGTATTGATGAGACTGGAGAGGGATGTGAATATGTTGTACTTTCTGATCTAACTTTCAAAGGAACAGGCTGTGTTAATGGGGCTAAATTTGTAATCAAGAAAGGAACAAACTCCAGAAGGCAGTATGTAATCATGAATGATAAGATTTTACTTCTTTGGGTGAAAATCGGATCAAAGTTCAAAGATTGTCCAGCTTTCACCGACAGAACAGCAACCATTACCTGTAAAGAAGTTGTGGGATTGGCAGCTGTAAATCTAGGCATAGCTACTGTTCCTGTTGCTTCTACAGCTGGAGTTCAACCAGCTTCTTCTGCTTCATCTGCTGCTGCCCCGCCTACAACTGCTGCCTCTGTAGCTATTTCTGCTGCTTCAACTTCTGTAGCTTCTTCTTCAACTGCTGCTCCTGGTGCTTCAACCTCTGTAGCTCTTTCTACTACTTCTACACCTGCTCCTGCAGCTTTAACATCTATAGCTCCTTCTACTACTGCTGCTCCTGATTCTGCAGCTTCTTCTACTTCTAATATTTCTGTTGCATCAGCTAGTGCAGCTCTTTCTACTACTGCTTCAGCTCTTCCTATCTCTGCTGCTTCAACTGCGTCAGCTGCTTCAGTTGCTTCAGCTGCTTCAGTTGCTTCAGCTGCTTCAGCTGCTTCAGCTGCTTCTCCTACTTCTGCAGCTCCAGATGCTTCTTGCCAGGTAATTTAGTTTACATTGTTTATGAAGTTCACACTCATTCCTCAAACCTATATAGTGACCTTGGTTCTCCCAGTCACACATTTACATGGTTTCAGCGTTCACAAATGTCAATTGATTTTATTAAACAGGCAGAACTATATTTCTATATGCTAATGTTGTTTAAAAAAAATATGAAAGAATTCCATACAGAATTTAAAATGCAAAGAAGTGTTTAATTTTCTGTATGCGTATTTTCCATCTTAAAATGCAGTATGCTTATTTTCCCAATTTTTTTCAATCGCAAGTTCTGTAATAGTAGTTCTATTTATGATCTTAACTGACAAACCTGTATATACAGTTCCATCCTATAAAATATTGGATTATATCCAAGTATGAATTTCAAAATACACATAATACTCGAAAAACCTAGTTTTTTTTTTCTTTACTTAAGCTTTATACAATAAAATAATTGATTCTTTTTAATTTTCCTATTAGTCCTGAAAATATCAATTTAGAGATATAAACGATCCATTATGGGCTGGAACACCCTAAATATCCATCCATTGATGAGAATTCATGGGAAAAAAATCATTTCACATGAAAATTTGAAAGATTAGTTTAAAATTTTAATTTAATAATTTAGAATGGTATTTTTTTTATTGGTGGCTCTGGAACTTCTTCTGGGTCAGGTAAGTTAATATATTTTTTTTGTATTTGGAAAAACAGACTTTATGGAAGAGAACATGATTATTTTTGATTTTGTCTTTTTGAAACATTTGGATAACTAATCCCATGAAAAATTTAACTTCTATTGATCATTTTAACAATTTCAAATTCTTTCCAAAAAAATCCCAAAAATTATGTTTCTAACATTACTGACAGAATATAATTGGCAATATTTGGTGAACAGGGAAAAAGACAGCAGTTCAGAGCTATCCATGCAAAATAACCTTGCCATCTGAAGTTGATAATGATATTAGTAGCAACAGATTTATGCCAGGAGGTAAAACATCAATATCATCATCATCATCTATATGTATGAAGTAGTAACCTCTGTTTATTGCGCGCTTGTTTGTTTGTCGGATCAGAACTAAAAATGACAGATAAAAAAAATTACTTTCGAATGTTTGAATATGCTAGACACGGATCAGCTGGGTTGATTTCATACAGTTTGTAGTGTACACTAGGTTTTAGATCAATTCAACATTTCACAGATCATACACAAGCTCTCTCTATATACCTGATTAACAGTCAAAGTTTAAAGAGAATCCATGTAAATTAGGCAATGCCCTATTCACATGGACGTTAACATAAAATTAAACTTACAGTTCCTTCAAGGAATGATTTAGTAGTTTCACCATAATTTTTTGCATGCAGTACATTTTGTCATTTATTCTTCAATGCAGGAGTTGCGATTCTTAACGGAAAAGCCCTTATTCTCAACAATGGAGATACAAGGACCGAAACTCCAAACAAGTAAGATGTTTAACTATCTATTTAAAGGGAGTGCTCGCAAAAAATGAAATGGGTATATATGACCCTGAATCATTCTGTTTTTATCTAATGCTTTAGTAATTAAAATATTGCAAAAACATCCAAGGCTTGTAGATAATATTCATTTTCAATGGAATTAAGTCTTTGTCACAAACTAAGAATTTTTTATCCCCAGATTTTTTTTATCCAATGTCGTATTCGTTTACTTTAGATATTTTAAAGGATGAATCTGTTAGATCAAATAATCTATGTTGGCCATTTTAAAAGGTTTGTACCTTCAGGTTGCAAAGATAGAAGGCTTTAACTATTGAGTTTTCTTCAAAGTGATCATTCCTTTATATGCAGTTGGAGCCTTTTCATTTTTTGCTAACACCCGGCCTTAAAGATTGAAATTGTTATACATTAGATTCGAGTTTTTATTCAGAATATCAGAAAATCAAGTTCCACATATTAATTTAGATTATAAGGATGAATTTATGACTATTTAATAAAAATATTAAAAATAAAATCTGACCAGGTGTTACAACGGCACTCTAGGCTCCTCTGAGGGCTGGTCTGTAACAACTGATTGTTTGCTTACAAGAAGGATGTATCCAAGTATGGTAACAGTAGGACAATCTATTCTGTTGACTGGGGGAGCAGTACGTACTTCTGATAGTATTTTTAATAATAGTTTTTTTACCATTGATTTAATTGAACGCTATGACGGGAATAGTTGGACAACCCTGACTAATAAACTTCAAACACCAAGAGCTTACCATTGTTCTGTAGCAGTCAGGTGACATATTTGTAAATGACAAAATTTTAAAAGATTTGTGAAAAAAAAAATTAGAAACTTAAATTTTCAAAATAAAAATGACAACTTTTTATTTATTTCTGAAATTTAAAACACTTTTTTGTGAATAGAAATTTTAAGGACCCTATGCATACATTTTTTTTTCTAATGCATAGGGTAGGTTACAGGATTGAAAAAAGTGCGGTCTTTGAAATAAAATCTAAAATAGCCCATATCTTTTTTTGTATCTAATGCTACAGATCTAAAAACTAATTGATATTTGTTTAAAACAAAAAAAATATTTTTTTTTCATTGTTCTGACCCTTTTTTTTGGCCTTTTTTCAACCCTCCCTAACTTCCAAACTATTAAACTTATTAGTCTAATCGTTTTTTTTTCAATGAGCTAACCTTGAAAAAATGGGCTATGAACATGCATTTTAATCCTATACCTATTCTCTAAGGCTTTTTTCTAGGGGGGGGGGGGAGTGGGACGCCAAAGTGAATAAATACTAAAGTGGGCCAAACTCATAGTAGGATGACGACATTTGTTGTCCCAAGTATGTAAAAATAATATTGCAGGGCCCTTACAATCTGTGTGTACGGAGTGTACAGTACTAAATTAGCTGGACTTCAGTTTGTTTACAAACTGTCACTCAGAGTTTATGTGGAAAAATTAACAAATGATGTAAAAATGTAATGATTCCGTATGGCCTAATTAGTCGTCTTTATTCTGTCTGTTTCACTTTAGTATTTATTCACTTTGGTGGACGACCCCACCCCAGGATATACATAGATTTAGACCCCCAGCCTTTACAGGGTTAAATAAATTGTATATATTATTTTTTAAATTTAGTCTAAAATGAAAAACAACCTTATAGAAAATCAGATTTTGCTAAATGTCAAGTCTTTCAAATTTTGTTTTAAAAACCTTGAAAGCCAAAGAAACAAGGATGTTTAATAACGGACCTCACAATGATGCCTATCAGGAAGGAAAGGACTAAATAAATCTTAATTCAGTAAATCTGAAATAATTTTGCTGGGAGGAAACACAGGAACAGGCCCTCTTGCCACTATGGAGAAATATGATGTGGATGGAAAGTTAATAGAGGTTCTTCCTAAAATGAGCCTACCGAGGTAATTAATTAGGAGTTAGGTACTTTCCTAAAGGCATTTTTCCAAGTGGCAACTTTCAAATTGTGCTAAAACTTCGATTATGTACAGTAAGGGTTAGGCTAGGCCTTCTGAGATGTAGGGCTGGGCAAAGTTCAGTTAACGGCACAGCTAGGTTTTCAAAAATTAACGGAAACAGCTAGAAAAAGTTGGAACATGCCCAGCCCTACTGAGGAGCTGCCGGCTGCAATGGGGCCAAGTGCTGTGGCAAGGGTGGGCATGGTACGCCGAGCATTGCGGCTAGAACAGGCTATAGGGCTCTTCACTGGTTTGATAGCTCTGTTTATAAGATTTACTTAAGACACAACCTTGGATGCACCATTTTCAACAACGAACTTTACGCAGCCGGAGGAAATATTGGGACTTTTTTTGGAGATCCTATTAACAATGAGTAAGTGTTTCTTATAATATCATTTGTTATTTTTTCCGTTAAAATGAAAATTCACATGTCAATCTTAATTTCTTCAGTAATACAACCGTTCTTTCTGATGTCGAGGTTTACAATCTAGAGACACAAGTATGGAGAAAAATTAGTAATATGAATCAGAGACTGTGGTTACCAGGCTTACATGTATACAACAACCTTGTAACAGTGTTTGGAGGGGGTACAGGCAAAAATAGAATTGAAAAGTTTGATGGTACGAAGTGGGACTTTGTTGCTGATAATCTTGAGACTAGTTTCGTCGGCGGGGTTTCAACTGTATTTAAATGCCCATAATGCCCATAATAATGCCCATAATAATGCCCATAATGCGGGGCGTGTTCAATTATTAAAAATTTTGTTTGTTCATATTTGTGAATGACTTATTTTTTTTATTGTTCAAAAAAAATTGATTTTGTTAGTTTTCCATATAGTTTGTCAATTTTCTCATTAAGTTTTCATTGTAAATGCACAGAAGAACAACAGCAAAAATATTTAAAATATTATAAATATATCAAATAAAATAATAAAGGCTTAAACTTTTTAATAGATTTTATTTTGAAGTGAAAGTGAACTAAGAAGAGGAAAGATGATAGTTGAAATGTGAATATGGAAAGAGAAAGTCTCAAAACATTTTTTTAGAATTAAATGATGAGACATAAATTTTTCTTCCTTTAAAACCCTATGTCTCATTTTTTTTCGTTGCTATTTATCAGTACGTAAAATTATTTAGTTTGACGTTAGTATCTTTTTTTTTATTTTGAACCAATTTTTTCTACTTCCACAGCACTTCGGCAATTTGAAATAAATGTTTTTTTTTTAATTAAATTAAATTTTTTATAGGAAAGCTTGATAAATTTACAATAAATATCTACTTTTCTTAAAACTAAATGAATATGAAATATATATATTTTATCACCACAATTTACAAACAATATACCACTATAAATATTAAATAATCAAATTTGGTAAAAAAGTATAAACTAAGTCTTTTAAATCTAATGTCAAGTCAAGGAAATGTTAAATCCTGACTTTTTGCACCATGGTGTATGAAATGATACGAGTAATTAATAGGTTATAGAATATAAGAAATGGATGATTGGGGAGTAGGGGGTTCTGAAATCTTGTAAGAATTGTGTAACTAAAAACGTTATTTACATTACAGGCGCTGATATCGATAAACCATATTAACAAAAATCACAAGAAATTTTGCTTTTTAAAGGAATAAATTTAGAATCAAAATAATTCTTAAACTGAAAAGATTTTTGCCTGTCTAATTTTCTTTTTAACCCTATTCCTGCTGGGGGGCCCCTGTAGTTTTTTTTACATAACTCAAAAAGTATTGGTCTGAGGCTGTTGAAATTATCTGACTTTTCCTACATACCCAAAGCCCTCCCTTTAGGCCTAAAACCGGGCTTTAATTCTAACTGCCTGAGTCCTCAGGCCCACTGCCTGAATGACTGCTTTTTCCATGTAACAAACTAAAACTTTGTTTTGACCCACTTCCACTTGTCAGATTTTGATAAAATTTGATTTTTTGGAAAGCCTTTGACATAAGGAAACGAATTGCACAAGTTTTATTTGCACATGTTTAGTTTTTCTTGATTAAAAATCAGGTTATTCAAAATTTTGCATTACTATCCCTGTACTATCCCTGTACTATCCCTGTACTATCCCTGTACTATCCCTGTACTATCCATATACTATCCCTGTACTATCCCTGTACTATTCCTATACTATCCCTGTACTATCCATATACTATCCCTATACTATCTCCGTACTCTCCCTGTACTATCCCTGTACTATCCCTGTACTATCCATGTACTATTTTTTACTATCCCTATACTATCCCTGTACTATCCCTGTACTATCCCTGTACTATCCCTATACTATCCCTATACTATCCCTGTACTATCCCTGTACTATCCCTGTACTATCCCTATACTATCCATATACTATCCCTGTACTATCCCTGTACTATTCCTATACTATCCCTGTACTATCCATGTACTATACCTGTACTATCCTTGCGCAATATCTGTACTATCACTATAATATCCCTTACTATACATGTACTTAACCTGTACTATACCTGTACAATACCTGTACTATACCTGTACAATACCTGTACTATACCTGTACTATACCTGTACTATAACTGTACTATACCTGTACTATCCCTGTACTATCAATATAATATCCCTGTACTATACCTGTACTATACCTGTACAATACCTGTACTATACCTGAACTAAACCTGTACTATACCTGTACTATACCTGTACTTTACCTGTAATTTCCCTGTACTACACCTATACCTGTACTAAACCTACACTATGTCAGATCCTTACAATTTCTATAGTTTCTATAGTTTCTATAGTTGAATTGTAGGTATTCAGACAGATACAGAAATTTCAGATTTTTATTTTCCTACCTCTCGTAACAGATATGATTTTCAGACATTGTGTAATCAAAAATTGGTTGAATGGACCTTCCTTTATGTCTGAATGGAAGATGAGTAAATAAAACTTAATGGAAGTCTGTTTATAAGTTTACCCATTTATTTGTAAATGTCTGAATACCCATGTTCTGAAATAAAAAAGTCTGAATTTACACCATCATGGCGTTAACTTTGCTTTAGTAATCCCTTTACTATTCCTGTACTTTGCACGTACTTTGCATGTACTATTCATGCACTATCTCTGTACTATCACTGTAATATAACTTTACTAACTTGTACTATGTTTGTACTATGCATGTCCTTTCACTATACTATCCCTGTACTATTCCTGTACTATCCTTTTTACTATTCCTGTACTATCCCTGTACTATTCCTGTACTATCCTTTTTACTATTCCTGTACTATTCGTGTACTATCCCTGTACTATAACTGTATTATGCCTGTACTTTACCTGTTCTTAACCTGTACTTAGTATACCTAGCTGTACTATATGGTATACCTGCACTATGTCAGTATAGTATCTAGTAATGTTATATCTAGGTTTATTATCTAAGATATATCTATATATCTATATCTATATCTAGGTTTATTATCTAACCGAAATGGGAAAAACAATTAATTATCTCCTCCTATTTTGCCCATCCAAGCTATACCTGTGAAGTAAAATAATGATCGTTTTTGCGGTGTGCCTTGCGTCTTGAAAATGTCACAATATTGCAAATTTGCAGCGCAAAAACCGTGTGTCCTTTGAGCATTGTAATTATAGCTCCGCTTCGATATATTTCTCTGCAATACGAGGAGGGAAAGCAATAGATCTGAACCTCCACTCTTTCTGCAATTCGAGGGGGGGGGGGGGGCAATTCTCATGCATTAAAAAAGAATAACATCACAATATTTTTATATTCAGTTTTAACCTATGTTAAAGAGGCTTTTATGTTTAAGCCAATAGTCCAACAGTTCACAATTTAGCGATTTACATCGAACATAAAATTTTTTAAATATTAACATTAATAAATCTGTTGAGCTAAATAAAGTTCTGAACCGGAAATAAATTATAAAAGAAAATATTCAATTTTTTTAAAATTGTGCCCTCTGAATTTTTTAAGAATTAATGAATATCAAGAACTTTTTAAAACTGTTAATTTGAGGCTGGAAGCGGTCTCACTTTGAAGATAGAGTCTTCTCCCCCTCCCTCCCTCGTTCTTCTGTTTTAGCTTCTGTAGGGTTTCCAATATCAAGAGAAATACAAACATTTATAAACATTTTTCATTTTCAGACTATTTAGTTCAATTAAAAGCTGAGAACTAGCCCCCCCCCCCCCCTCTCCTGCCTCGGATACAAGATGTCGATTAGAATTTCACACGTGAGCGAGCGAAGAGAATGTTTACAATTACTTTTAATTTTCTCTAACAAGGGCACATACTTTTATTCTATATTATAAAAGCGCCCCCCCCCAAAAAAAAATTAAAGGGACTATAAGCGTAATTTCAAGAGACCCTCCATTTAAAGATGGCAGTTCCCGATTTACAACGGTACCCTTGAAACCTTAATCTGATAAAAAATGTGGAAGATATACCGACCTTTCCCTGACTCAAAAAGTGTTTAATTCTGATGATTTCTCCATTGGTTCCTAAAACAAGAATTAAATGCGCAAACCACTTTTTCAGAGAGACCGCAAATAAAAATGAAAAGTTTAAAGAAACAAAAACATGGATATCTGATTTATGCTTGATCATGCAAAGCTTTTAAGGGTACCGTTGTGAATCAGGCATAGCCATCTTTGCATGGGGGCCGGGGGTCACTTGAAATTACGTTCACAGTCCCTTTAAACATCTTCAACCTTTGGTTTCTTTGTAAAATTAGCGACGAGAAAAATGTTAGATTTTTGTAATCATATTTCCAGAGGGGTTTCATCCTTAATACTGGTTGAAAGTTAATTTGTTTTGATGATTTTGTTAAATTGGTTTAATTTTCACCTCTTTATCTGTTAATTTATCCCCTCGTGCCAGTAATTAACTCGAGGATTTTTGGATATTTTTCGAATTCTTTTCTGACAATATAATTGGTTATGATAGGGGTTAGAACTACACTTGTCAGGGGCAATTTATATTTTATTTTTAGAAACAACACAATTTCAGTTTTTTATTATTAGGAGTTTTTAAAAATATCAAAGCAAAATGAATTTATGCAAGCATTTGACAGACCTGGAATACCTCCAACTTATTGTTGAAATCTAACATTTTTTGGCTAAATACAGGAATTTCGATTAACTTCGTCTAGGTTTTAAGTTTTATTTTTTAAGTTTTACATTTGATAATGAAACGGACTAGCAGTGCCTTGTATGTGATAAAGAAAACGGACTAAAAGTGTCTAGTAATTGATAATGAAACGGACTAACAGTGTCTAGTATTTGATACTTATATGGGAGGGAGTATAGGTTATCTATATGATAATATTAGATTAATTAATTGCCTGGTTTCAATATGAACCTAAGCTTCTATATTTAACCCATAAATCTACCAGAGTAGATGCTATAGTAGTTCTCAAACCCAGGCTGTACAAAAAATATTTAATTTATTGAAAAATATTTAAATTTTAGAAAACTTTACACAACAACAGTACGTCTGAAACAATGTTTCAAAAATATTGCAGAATAAAAGATTTTTTTTGACACCTTTCATTTTCTATTTTCTGATACCACGGAACTACTATAAATTATATTCTTAACTCCCAATTACCAGTTTGCTTACGTATATAATACTAGATGATTAACAAGGTCTGGAAAGTATAAAATTTACGAATTTATTCAACAACGACAACAACAACAATGTAGCCAAATTGTGAATTATATTTAGGACCATGACAGTGTGTGTTTAGACAAATTGTACAGGCAAATCAAAGTACGCTAAAATATTGTTGATAAAAGTACAGAAGGACAGGAACTGTAAGAAAAAGATTGTACTGGCTTGGTAATTAGAGTACAGGAGAACCTATACAAATTGTACTTTATTGCATCTCGGTACGCA